ACAGAAAACAAGCAGTTTCGCTGTACAATGAAATTCTGACTTTGCACATCCTCCTTTAAGCAAAGAAAATAGAATAAGAATATAAATTAACATAAATATGCAACAAAGTCTGCAGGCAGCAGGCAAGGTGTCTCTGTGGGTTTTCAGAGGTAGAAGTGGTTCGTGTTGTTTATAGTGCAAAGTCATTCACAAGCCTGATTGCTTGTTGGTAGTAACTGTTTAACAGTCTTGTTGTCTGGGACGTCACACTTCTGCAGCCCTTCCCTGAGGGTAGAAGCGTGAACAGGCTGTGCTGGGGGTGTGTATCGTCCCTGATGATATGCTGTGCCCTCCTGATGACTCTGGTGTGATAAATGTCCTGTAGTAGGGAGAAGGCTGCTCCTGCGAAGGACTCACCTGCTGGACAGCTTTCCTGTCCTGGGCAGATTTTCCGCTGCTCATACTTTTACTGAGGTGTGTCCCAGTTGACCTAGAAACACCTGATTATATCCAGAGCAAAACAGCCAGAGATCTGACAACAGATCCTGGAATAAGAAGGAAATTGAGTCACATTCTGACTCAATGTTTGAACCTAATATGCAGTCTGTTCTGTGGAAATGGGATTGTTAGTTTTTTTTTTAAAAAGAGACTAATTGTCTTTTAATGTCAGCAGCAAACCTATAGACCAAACACGAGTTTGATTGATGACTATGTATTTAAATCCCCTGCAAAATTAAATATCAGAACTGCGTTTTTATGCCGTTGGTAATGATTAGCTTAAGTCAAGTTACGTATCTAAGAGACATATAACACAAAAATCCACAAGCATGACCTGATGTTAGCAATGTTTTCGGCGGGAGGCTTTGGGCTCAGCAGGACGTGTAAGTGCAAGAGGAACCTTGCATACATGTCAGCCTAGCCAGATTGAAAACAACGAGATGGGTTAATTAAAAACTGTGCAATTAGGTGAGTCGTGAAAAAAGAGGTACTGGTTTGACTCCAATAACTGGGGAAAAGGGGGTGGGGGAGGGGGGTAAAGCATGCTGGTCTGATTAATTCTATCAGGTCCAGTCTGCAGCATGTTGGCATTTTATCTTTGTTTGGTTTGGCTGCAGGACCAGTTTAGCCCAGTTGGCAACATGGACTAAAAATGTGAGTCTCACAGATAAACTTGACACCTATGAGGTCATGACTAGTGGCAGTTTTATTAATACTGGCGTGAGAGACACCCAGCATGCACAGGGGCAACTTGGTATGTTTTGGGTGTCTATTTGCACCTGGATGAAAAGTCACATGGCATCTATTCTGCTATTTACGCCTCCTCACTCCCACCCCCTGGCTCCAGAAAAAATGTAAACACTGTTTTACATGCATGATTGCTGATGCAAATAGCACCTGCCTAATGTGTGAGTAAATCTGAAATAAACATTGTGCTTTCTGGATCAGAAAGTGATTCCGGTATTGAAAGCAGGTCACTGAAATGTTGTTTAGACATTAATCATGCCTGGGGTATAAAACCACTCAGGTTTAACTGGCTGTTTGAAAATCAGAGCAATTCCTGCTGCAGGATGTTCAAACTTCCTTATGTCGTACCAGAAGCATTGCAAATGCTATTGTTTGGGAATTACATGGAGTTATTTTTTTTTTAAACTTGGATTACCTATTGGTGCTAGGATTGTTTCAGTGAACAGATCCAAATAGACAAAAGGTATATCATACTAGATTTTAAACAGAAAGTTTGTTTTAATGACTAATATTGACATACAAGAACCAACTGTTGAAAATGATAAGTAATCCATTAATTGTTGTTAAATGTTCAAAAAAAATGTGGCCCTACGACACTAGAAAATGACTCAAAGGCAGGTGTAAGGAGAACAAAAAGGGGTTTTATTAAACCAAAACAGGAGCAGGGAAACAAACAGGACCAGAAGGGGGTCAACACGGAAAGAATAGCACTGGGAAGTGCACAGGTAGCAGAAGGACTGACATTAATGACTGGACTGGAGAACACAGAACTGGGAAGCACGTACACACATGACTAACGAGGAGCTGACACAATGCAGGCGTGGATGGCTAGCACAGTAGGATTTGGGATAACAAGCAAGACACAACCGGGGAGAACTAGGGGGGATCCGGAGAACCAGCAGTGACCATTGCTAGTCATACTAGGGAAGGACAGGACAGGTTGCAAAAGAGTGTGCCCCCCCCCCCCAAAAAAAGAAAAAATCATGCACACCATGCACGGGAGACACCACCACCACAACCAGGACTGGACAGATGGGACCAAAGATAATACAGACTAGGGCCAGGACAACAAATCCCCACACCAAGGAGACACACAGGCTCAGGGAAGACCAGATGTTTTAGAGGATCAGGGACATGAGACAAGACACTTGGCATGACTAGGAGTGAGAAACAAAGGCAAGGCTAGGGACCAAAGGGACAATCGAAGGGATAAACATGACACACTGCAGAAGAGGGCAGACAGGTAAAGGGACAGCAGGTCTATGAGCAGGTTGTCCAAGAAGCACCGTGGAGTAGGGATGAGAGGCCCAGATACCAGGAGGCTGGGTGCAGGGGAAGAGTGCAGGCAGAGATGCGGAGTTCAAGGGGCTCCCTGGAATCGCAGTTTGTAGAGTCTGGTCATTCTGTCATCACATAAGAAAGTAAGGACTCACGGGCAGGCATAAGGAGAACAAAAAGGAGCTTTATAAAACAAAACAAACAGCAGCAGGGAAACAAATAGGACTACAAGGGATCAAAAGGGTAAGACTAGGACTGGGAAGGGCAGGTAACAGGAGGACTAACATTCATGACCAAACTGGGGAACACAGGACCGGGAAACACTTGGATAACGAGGGTCTGACATGATGCAGGTGTGGACGGTGAGTGCAGCAGGGTTGTGGATAACAAGCAGGACACAACTGAGGAGGGATTTGGAGGACCAGCAGCGTTACATACCAGGAGACAGACCAGACAGGTTGTGACAGCTGCATGTCCTATTTTGTTTGAACTTGTAAGTTAATGGTGTGAATCAGTAAGTCAAAGATCCGTCTGTCTGGAAGGCTGTGGGTTTATTTATTTACCTTTATTTAATATGTTTTTATTGAGAAAACTCGGCATGTCATCCTGATGGCCCCAAATACCTTGGAACTGGCCCTGACTGAAGGCAAATAGGTGGGAGTCATCCTGTACCAAACAGGCACCAGGGTATATGACAGCCAAGCCACAACTTCAGAGAGGGAGGACAAGGAGGAGGCTGAGTGGTGAGCAGATGCAGTGTCAGTATTCAACAGCAGAGCCACCACAATGGAAAACCTGACCTGCTGGAGGTGTGAAGAGAGAGGGTGACGTACAGTGTGATAGTGCCAAGAACCTCCAGGGGAGAGATGCGGTGGGCGGAACAATACTAACCAAAGCCACCCCCATCCTAAGTTGCCCAGTTACACCATGGGTTGGTTAGGTCAGCTCTGGAACTCCTGCTTCTCCTGCTACATTGATGGCATAATTTGTACGAGGTCCACCATTTCCATCATGCAGAAGGTGCTGCTACCTAGTACATACTGTCAGACTCCAGCAGGTGGGATGGAATCATTGACAAGCCTGCAGCCATTGACAGGGGAGGTTGTGCAGATGTGGCTCATCAATGGAGACCTTTCCAACATGGCTTTTGGGTTAATTCAAACGTATTAAGTACATCACCTCCCACATCTGAGAAAAACGCATGTGAAGGGCAACGTCTCTTTCTTCCCTTGCATAAGCTATCCATATTCCAAAAAATGGCTATAAAAGGAATTTCAGCTGACTCAAGGGAAGGGCTGGTTTACACTTATTGCAGACGTGCCACAGTGTGAACATCATGGTGCCAGGGTTGTCCACATTCCACGCCAGGGCTGGGGTGGCACTGTAGAACAATGTATTGTTGTTACATTAAGTAGCATTTATGGTAAATGGACTGCATTTATATAGCACTTTTCTACTCCTACGAGTACTCAAAGCGCTTTACAATTTATGCCTCACATTCACCCATCCACACACACATTCACACACCAGTGGCGAAGGCTGCCATGCAAGGCGCCAACCAGCTCACCGGGAGCAATTTGGGGTTCAGTGTCTTGCTCAAGGACACTTCGATGGGGTCAGGAGGACCCGGGGCTCGAACCTGCAACCCTCTGGTTGCTGAACGATAGCACTACCTCCTGCACCACCATCTTTAGATGCTATAGGGTATGGATGTTATATTAAAAATAAGTATTTTACTAGAACTAATCATGCATTTTGTACTTACAGTAGGCAAGGATATTGACAGGTATATGGCATTGCAATTACAAACATGTATTTTATTTTCGTATGCAACCATCTGGGAGTATTTTATGATGAAATTAGGAGGAATCAAATCCGCCAGCCATTTGTTTTCGGTCTGATTAAGGGAGGGTAGTAAAGCTGTTTAAATACCATCTCTGGCCAGATCTCCCGATTTCCTGCTACTTTTCGCCTGACCAATGAACAATCAAGGCGCATTACAGTCACAATATGGACTTTCCATGTTGTTTCGAGTATCATGCATCCTTGCGTGCAGCCCCAAAACGCAGCCTCTGTGCTCACCCCTACGACGATAATTACGTCACAACAGACACATGAACCGGCCCTTAGCCTTCATTTTCAATATCGCTTAACATTTTTGGTTTACACGTAATCTGCAAATTCCTGTGATCTTTCGGCAAGCTCCAAAAAAATTCTTATTTAACTGTTCATTGCCAATTTATAACCTCGAATGGCAAATTTGCAGATCTGGAGAGGTGACTGTACTCGCGTAAATGTAAATTTAAAGAATTAACAATAGGAGTAAAATGTGGGAAAAAGTCTTTTATAATGAAAGTTATCCTTAGAGTGAAATTTAATGCTGATGGATGTTCATTATAATTATTAACTCTTTTCATTAGATTAATTTTGCATACTTAGAGTTGACGTTATACTCTATAATATGTTTTCTGAGGTAGTATTAAAATACACTACTAGAGTTCATTTAAAACAGAATTTTACTGCATACATTATAAATCTCACAATGCATTTCATATTTTAACATGCAAAGGCCAAAGCGTCCTTCAAAGCATTTTGGAAGGGATGAGGAAATGGCTGCAAAAAAAATTCAAAAATCAAAATGAGGATGTCAACATATACAGAAGAGTTCAGACATTTTCGTGGACACATGCCCAGACTTGGTGGTGGTGGATTATGCTTCTTGCCGCTGCTCTTCTTTGCCCTGTCCCTCCTCTGTTCCACTCCCAGAAGCCTCCTGTTCCTTCTGTGCGGCCAGCTTTCTCAGACGCTCAGCTGCGGTCACAGTCATGGGATGGAGAGGAAAGAACCCAGCCAGACCTGTAGGAAATGCCATATTCACCAACTAGGAACTGTGTTGCAATTCTGTTTGCAAACTCTTAATACAAAATGTCCTACAATCAACAGAAATCCTTGCACCTGGTGTGTAATCAGCATAACCTGTTATATTTACTTTGGTATTTATCGGCATAATCGTAACTTGATGTCAAACGAATTTGGATTCTTTACGGTACTGAGTCACAGATAACGCAGTACTTGAGGGGCGCTCGTGCCAACATAGCGATATCGTGTAGTAGCACCTACCTAGGAGTTTGGCTACGGGTTTTGTTGTGTGGGCGCCACAGCCGATCCAGTATTTGATCCTGTCATAGTTGAAGCTGACAAGCTTTTCGTTGTATATGTTGGGAAGGGGGTCGTATGTTCCCAGTTGCTCGATGTATTTGCTGTCCCGCGCCCGTTTGTTAAAAGCTGCCACGATGCGGTAAAATGGTCGGTTTGTGCAGCCACCCAGCGCCAGCCTAATGATGACAAGCCCCCCGTGGTACCGCCTCAGAAGAGCAGATGCTGAATGAAAAAAAGACACAAAAGGAAAACGACCCTGGTTGGCGACTAAGCCAAATCATACGAAGAGACAGGTGGTTATCTCATGCATCGGGGAGGAAACGGAAGGGAGGCAAGATAAGATGCACCAAGCTGACCCTCTTCACTGAAGTACCCAGCTGCGTAAACCACTATGACAGAATACAGTCACCATGCAGTGGCCAACTACATATGCCCCCTATATGCAACAATATTTTCGGACAAGTATGAAGCAGAGGGGGAATTGCCGTTAAACATTTAGACCAGAATAATTCTGTGTGATCTTAATGTAAGTGTAATCGTACCAAAATTAAGCCAGCGGAAAAGGCATGTGTGGCATGATCTGTGAAAATAGCTAATTTAAACTTGACCACGAACACCTAAAATAAAGCTCGAAACCATTCGCTATGCGTGAGCAATACTACGATCTATTAATAAGAATAACAGAAGACTAACCTATACATGTTTATAGTTATTAAAAAACTTACAGAGATGCACCATGGTGGATTAATGTTGCACGAAACCTGAAAACAAATAACATAATTTGATTTCAATCCACTTTAGAATTGCGCATTTGCTTCGCCACTAAATACATCGTATAAATCAGAAACATTTAGGAAAAAATAACCTGCAGTGTACTACCGTCTGGATACCTCCAGTGTTAATTCAAAAATATTAGCTCCCAGGTTTCTTCGAAATTAAACTTCAGCAGCACAAGAAGTCTTAAGAACGTGACATTGCAATGGAGGCAGCCATGTTTATTCCCTTCTTCCTCTGTGTTTTTATTACGCGGCCATGCGCACAAAATGCTCATACTGCCCCCTAATGTACGGGAATATAACCGCGAGAAAAGAAAACGAATCGTGCGCAAATCATTTTGGGCGTAATCAACATACATTTTAACAAGATATAAATATACACTCACAGACACACATACACTATGCGTACAAAGGTATTGCGACGCCTGGCAATTACACCTACAGGAACATTTATGACATCCCATTCTAAATCCATCGGCATCAATATGGTTATGGTCACCCCTTTTTCCCCAATCATTCAGAAGAGTATCTGTGAGGTCAGGCACTGATGTTGGATGTGAATGCCTTGCTTACAATCTCTGTTCTAGTTCATACCAAAGGTGTTTCATGGGGTTGAGGTCAGGGCTCTGTGCAGTCACCAATCTCACCCAACAATGCAAAGGCATGTGGGAACAGAAAAGGGCCTTCCCCAGACTTTTCCCACAAAGTTGGAAGCATATAATTGTTCAAAATTAAGAGTTCCCTTTGTTGAGACTAAGGAGCCTAACCCAACCCCTGAAAAACAGCCCCATACCATTATCCCTCCTCCACCAAACTGTACAGTTGGCACAGTGCAGTCAGGCAGGTAACATTCTCCTGGCATCCGCCAAACCCAGACTCATCCATCAGACTGCCAGATAGAGAAGCATGATTCATCACTCCACAGAACATGTTCACACTGCTCCAGAGTCCAGTGGCAGTGTGCTTTACACCACTCCATCCGATGCTTGGCATTGTGCTTGGTGATGTGAGGCTTGCATGCAGCTGCTCGGCCATGGAAGCCCATTCCATGAAGCTCCCAGTGCACAGCTTTTGTACTGGAGTTAATGTCAGAGGAAATTTGGAATTCTGCAGTTATTGAGTCAACTGAGCATTGGCGACATTTACGCACCTCCGCACCTGGTGACCCTGCTCTGTTATTTTACGTGATCTGCCACTTCATGGCTGAGTTTCTGCTGTTGCTAAATGCGTCCACTTTGAAATAATACCCCATACAGTTGACTGTGGAATATCTAGCAGGAAGGAAATTTAACAAACTAATTTGTTGCAAAGGTGGCATCCTGTGACAGTACCATGCTTAAATTCCTTGAGCTCTTCAGAACGACTCATTCTTTCATGGCTAAACGCTTGATTTTAGACACCTGTGGCAATGGGTCTAAATCAGGGGTCTCCAACTCCGGTCCTGGAGAGCTACTATCCAGTAGGTTTTCTGTCCCACTTGGCTTCTGATGAGCCACACCTGCTCCTGCTATTTACCTGAGAACAAGTGTGGCTCATCAGAAGCCGGGTAGGATAGAAAACCTACTGGATTGTAGCTCTTCAGGACCAGAGTTGGAGACCCCTAGTCTAAATGAAACTCCAGAAACAGGCAATAGACTCAGCACAAGGCGCAGACATACCATTCACACCTATGGACAATTTGGGAACTCCAGTTCACTTTAGCATGCTTTGGGACTGTGGGGGAACCCGAAGGAAACACCACCACGACACGGGAAGAACAATGCAAAATCCAGAGACATACAGCCAGGGCGGACACTGGAATTGTCAGGAGTGTGAGGCAACCATGCGAACCACATCGCCACTGTGTCATCCTTGAATAAGATCATTTAGAAGAAGATGGTCCATTGAACGACAGACAGCAAATTGTTGCCGTGTTTGGACGGCTCGATAATCCAAAGCTACAAGTGAATCTCACATTAGTGATAGGAAAGAAAGTTGTGCAGTACCAAAGAAGTCGTAATTTCACCTACGTCCGCCAGGCGGAGTCAGCGACCTATAAGTCTGACTTTCAGTTTGTGCGTTTTCTACTTATGGATTGAAAGTTTTTTGTTTGTTAAATGTAGTTTTACTCTGTGAAATGGCTAAGACAGACGTTAATTGTGCATTGTAGGCCTACAATTCTGCGTTTGTACTGAGACTTTTTCTATCTGCAGGTTTTCTAAATTGATGAAGTTCTGAGTCGCGAGGGGCCCTGCGCCTATTCCAGACAGCCCAAGGCTGGGGTGCACGCTGTACGCAGGATACCCACGTTCTGCAGGAAATTTAGAGACTATAGTTAGCCTCATTGCATGTGTTTGGGGTGCGTGAGAAAGCCCATACCACACAGGGAGAAGATGTAATATTAGATACACATAGAGTGTGGGGTGACATTTAAGGCACTAGCCATGATGCCTGGAGGTGTACAGCCACCGAGCCCCTGTATTGTCCATACGTAATGACGTCTGGCATGATTTCATAAAGCAATTTCTAAAACCACAGAATATTTTTCTCCAAAATCATCTGACAGATTCCCTGTTGCGAGAATATCTTACTTGTTTGACATATTCCCAACGTCAGAGTACGGGTTAAAAAAAAGTCCCATAACAACGGGGTTAAAAGTGAAGTCTTGTTTTGAACGTGTGTGTGGTTAGACATATTTAGCATCAGGACTGAGGAAAGTGCTCAAACTCAGCTTAAGTAGTTTGATCATTTTTATCGGAACAAACGAGTTTGACTATTAATTTGTCCTAATAAATCTGTTTGTTTTTTAATCTAAATTATGATCCCCATCACTTGCCTGTAAATGAAGTTATGAGCCCCCATCGCGCGACTTAAATCCTTTTCGGACAATCATTTAGCAGAACTTTGCGGACTTACGACCATTTTCGCTTTCTGTGTAGCATTTGCATGACGTCATGGTCGCGGTTAATTAGTTGGGTTCGAAGGTTTGCGGTTCAAATTCTCACAGAAACATTTTGGTTTTACGGTCTGATATGTGTGACTTGTCTCGTAAAAAAACCGCTATTTAAAAAAACGATAGATTTCTTAAATGTGTATTTTGATTACTTCAGTTCGGGTGTAAATAACCTAATCTAAATGATACTCCAAAAGTAGTAGAATTCTTTTTAACAAAGAAATTTGACAATAATTATATTCATTATATAATTGCATTTTCAAGCCCCGTTTAACCATGTATAAATTGTTCTGACTCTAAGAAGATAAGAGAGTGTATATTATTGCATCTTTTGTTAGCTGTTATCGATTTTTGTTTTAGCTTCGGTATTGCTCAGTTAAATCTAAGACACGGTATAGGAATACCTAAAATATTATCTGACAAGCATCCTTAATAATCATACTTACAGAATAAATGTCAAAAATAAATAAAACAGATGATATCGACGATCTATTGGATTAGCAAATAATTTACAGGGCGTACATTTTTTTTGATATGTAGCCTAATAATATTATTGTTAATTCTGTATCTTGAAGAAGATGTCACATATCGAGAAAGCTGCGTTAAAATGACACACCGGCTTCTCCTGATGATGAAGGTCATCCAAAGGCTTGGTTCGCACCCTCCCCACATAAAAGTTCTTCCAAATTTTCGAGATTCCTGCGGCACATTTTCACAGCGGTCACCTGCGCTATGAGCGTCACTTACGAATCAGTCACTTGACAGGCTTTAAGCGCACAGTAAATTCAGAAAGTCAAAGTAATTCTCCCTTTTGAAGAAATATTTCCTATCCATATAAAAAATAAAAACAACTAATTCAGGACAATAATAACAATAATAATAATAATAATTATTATTATTATTGTTATTATTGTTATTATTATATTTTACCATTGTTGCTTCATCTGTTGACACCAAGATTTATTTTTTTTCAATACAGCGCTGGTCAAAATGATCAACAGTGGGGGGATACAAACCATTACACTCAATAAAACAGTGTGAATTCTCACCATTTTCACATGTCCATAATTATTCAATTAATTGCCAAACTGCCTTGTTAATTAGCTATGAATTAATCCGGAGACATATGGCTCTAGCAGTTTGGGTAGATGCTTTATTAGTGAGAAGGCCTCAGAAGCTCCATTTTTGGGCAGCTCAAAACCTAATTTTAGCACATAGACGTTGTAGCGAGAAACGGCTGGAAACGTTATCCTCTTAAAAATGTTGTGACAGCATGGAGCAAGCATCAGTGGAAAACTGGCGGAAGAATATTGGGTTAATGTGTATTTCGTGTGGCAAATCTGTGGCCCGTGCTTCACGCCAGAGGCAGGTCGCACCTTTGCAGAGTCTCTGCTAACCCTGATCCCCTTCACTCCACAGGGAGCCACCCAAACCATAACTGTCCATGACAATACAAGTTAGGGATGACCTGATAACTTACCATCAGCAGGCCGCTCTCCCCACAGACTCCGCCCCTCCCCCCCCGTGTCTTTTTTGCAGAATGAAATTGTTGCAAACAAACGTGTCATGCATTGCCTTATCAGTTATCAAGAAAACATTTCAGAATAAATACGAAAGTTACCAAGTTTTCTTGTTTAATCCAGAGCCGATGGACTCCGCAAATATCTCGTCTCTCGCTAACAATGCATTTACATCAATAAATTGACCAATATTGTTGTGTTATTCTCTGAGTTTTCAGTTTGTGTGGCTTGCTGTTTCTTTCAGAAGCTGGTGCTGAGGTAAACTTACCCATAGGTGGTAGTCCATACGGCTTTTAAGTCATATAATCACAAGTCATGCATAATACACAAAGTGCATATTAATATCAGCTAGACTGTGAAAAGATTAGTGATTCGTAGAAGCAAAGGGATATCAGTCAAGTTATTTCTCGGCAGAAATAAACTGCAGCTATGGCCGGAGGAACATTCTAGATCATACCACTTGTTGACGGCCCTTCTTGGGCTCCAGTGATGGGAACTGTGTCAGGTGCAGAGGGGGATGCGGGGGCCATACCACTTGAGAAAGTTTGCCCTTCCAAGGGGTGCTTCTGAAGATAGAACCGCAAAATTAAAAAAAGCTGAATTTTACCCATTGTCAAAAGGTGCTGAGTTACATCCTGCTGTCTCTGTGTCGAATGTACATTTTATATTTCAGATTATTTAAGAAAATGGACTGGTACAGGTAGCTGAACAGAGGCATCATAGTACCATGACATCCAGCCCTAACAGCATAACTGAGGTACGTTTGCTATGGGAGTATTTCATCGGCTCATCCTGCTAA